TATTTTAGAATATTTAAGCAACCAATCTCCCCTTTTTATATTAATAAATTGCTAAATAAATTTATGGTAAACAAATGTATGAATAAGAGTTCCATGGAAAAAGAAATCATTTTCACTTTTTTATTAGGAGTTCAAATTTATAGTCTCTGTTTTGAAATACTCATCACCTGCTTCCTGTAGATTAATATTAAATTTCATTTAATCATAAATAATTATTATATATATTTAAAAAAAATGGTCAGAGGCTATTATACAAGTCTCCAGAGGCTATTATACAAGTCTCCAGCCACTTCTAACATACCTAACAATTTGAGTATCACACTCTTTAAGGCTCGGGTTGCCAGAGGGGATTCGAACCCCTGATCTAAGTAGTCTGACACCAAGGATGACAACCAACAGGTCAGGTTACGGTGACCTATTGATAGAGCAACCTCTCTGAATGTCTTAAGTCCCTTCAGGTCACGGCGAGAATCCCTCCGTGCTTAGGATATGGTACTCGAATATTTAGCACACCTAGGAATGATCGGGGCTAGTCTAATATTCTCCCGCCATTCTTTTTAATATATATATATATATATATGAAAAATTGATTTTATTTTGCTTATTTAGAGGCATAAACTAAATTATTCAGTATCATAAATAGATTGAAGAACACAATTCAAATTTATTCATTTACCAATTAAATATTTATAAAATATTGAAACATTTATTTAATTAAATAATCATGCTTACATACAAGCGCACCCATATATAACGTTGGGTTTATCTGCTCCGTTAAACGATCAACGGCCTGGGTCAGTTCCAAACCGCCAATTACGGTACGCTGTTCCGCGAGACACCGATAGTTCTCGCTGCCGGAGTCATAAACTCATCTTCAATATATTTATTGAAAAGGACAATCAGCAAAAGAAAATCGCTTGCCCCGCCCGACGGAATCCGAAAGTGGACGACTTCCCTGGTTTTCCTTGCACGCTTAAAAGTGGGAACCCTCACGACCGGTCCTCGAGGAACAAAACGTTTTCTTTGATAAAGATCGACAATGAAGGCATCGTCTTCCATTCTGGCTCTTAAAAGATGTGTTTTTTGCTAGTGTTCTTTGTTAGGTTTATACAGAGCGTAGACGACGATTCAGGCGATTTCTAGGGCTTGGTTTTTAGTTCGTTTTATTTGGGTTAGTTAGTTACTGCCATGAGGATTACTGAACTGGAGGGAGGAGGTTTGGAGAAGTGTGATGAGAATGAAATCGTGACGGTTTGCGCGAAGAGAGTGCTGGTTGGAGCAGGGGCGAGGGTTCTTTTCTACCCGACCCTTCTGTACAATGTCATCCGCAATAAGTTTCAGGCTGAATTTCGTTGGTGGGACGAAGTTGATCAGGTGGTTCTTTGTTTATTGTTGCTTAAATTGTGTTATAATTCTCAATCCCTTTCTTTATGGTAATATTCGCCTATGTGTTTCGGGTAGTGCCTAATTTTATTTTTGATTTGTCCGATCTTTCAGCGATAAAAGGTTAATTTAGGGTATCCAGCTGTTTTTTCTTATGGACGTGTATGTTATTTTATTCACTTCTTTGTTTTCTATACTTGCATGGAGACAAACCTTTAAGTTAATATGTTCTTAAGGGAGTGTTTGCTGCAACTCGTATTTATGTTAAATTGGATTCACTAAATCGGGATTTATATTGACTGAGGTGTTGATGGAGATGACGCTCCCAACATGAGGGAATAAATCCGCCTCACAATCGAATTCAGTAAATCTAGATTTAGGTCGTAAAAGGGTGGGAACACAAGAAGAAAAGATGGAACACAAAAAAAATTGATTTAACTAGGCGTTGGATTTAATTTTTGTTTATGTTATGTTTGGCTGGATTTATGCTGAATTCATGGCTAAATTCCATTAAAACTATGCTACCAAACACCCATGTGTTCATATAACGTGAGATGTGAATAATATGGTGAAGTCCTGACCTTCACTCTACAGGTTTCTGAGCTATATGTATAACTATCATAGCAGCTTTTTAGCCTATTCATCATACGATACTTGAAGTTTAGATTTGTAGTTTTTCTTGTTATACTTATTCATTGTTGGTAGGTAGCTATTCATCATACTTTTGGCACAAAATTCTCATATTTTATATTGCATTTTGTAGAGTTCTGCTGATATTAAGCTCTATCAATGTTGATGTTAATCACTATTTTGACTGTTATTGTCAGTTTATTTTTAGCTTTAGCGTTCAATAATGCTGTTTTTTGAATTTTAAGTTATAGTGCATTTAGCCATGGTTTTCCATGATAGTGTATGCTTCCAAATCTGCTGTTAATGTACTAGAGTTCTTAAGGCAAACCATAACGTAGCCATAGTTTTTAATTGTTTTGTGAGTTTCTACTGTAGTATATTGTTTTCAGTTTGCTTTCTAATGAGGTAATCATTTGTAAGACGTGCAAGGAAGCAGAAGATAATCAATAGTGAAGGCAGTAAAATTCTGTGATAGCTTGAATATAATTCCAAAACATAAGCTAAAAATGAAACATATTTGGCAAGTATAATCAATTTGGCTGTTTTCCAGCCAAAAATGCTCATTTTTTTTTATAATAATTTCAATGCCATGAAGCTATTAGAACATATTCTATAAACAGTTTAGCCAATAATAGGGATTGAGACAAAGACACGAGGCATATGGTTCATATTAAATTATCTGTTGATGCAGCTTAGTCAGAATCAAGAGTTGTCCAATTTATGCACTAGACTCCAAATTACGCACTATACGGGCCAAAGAAAATGTGAAGATATAAGAGAATAAATATGCCATTTAGTGGTTGTTCATAAGTTTTTTGTTGTTTGAGTTGTTTAGGGTTTGTAAAGTCACTGTTTTCAAATTAAATAAGATTCTTGTGTACAATGGTTCACAACTAAAAAACAAAGAAAAAGGAACACACTTAACCACAAATGAAATGTGTTATTCTCATAGCATCTACAAAAATTCCATAAACACTCTAGAACATATGCTATAAACAGTTTAGCCAATAATAGGGATTGAGACAAAGACACGAGGCGTATGGTTCATATTAAATTATCTGTTGATGCAGCTTAGTCAGAATCAAGAGTTGTCCAATTTATGCACTAGACTCCAAATTACGCACTATACGGGCCAAAGAAAATGTGAAGATATAAGAGAATAAATATGCCATTTAGTGGTTGTTCATAAGTTTTTTGTTGTTTGAGTTGTTTAGGGTTTGTAAAGTCACTGTTTTCAAATTAAATAAGATTCTTGTGTACAATGGTTCACAACTAAAAAACAAAGAAAAAGGAACACACTTAACCACAAATGAAATGTGTTATTCTCATAACATCTACAAAAATTCCATAAACACTCCTGTCCACTTCACTTCCTTTATTTAAGATAATTCGGAAAGTGAAATTTGTAGCACAAAAAAATATGTAAAACTTTGTAGAGATGGCTTCATACTGTATCATCTTATGTGAATCTAGTTCTCTTCGAACGTCTAGTTGTGTCACATTTTGAAACATTTAAAAGGTGTTTTTGTTACTTAAACCTCCATTTTTATAGAACATGTCATGGTTGAATGATAAATCAAAGGGCCAAAATTTTGAAGAATTAAAAGGCCAAAAGTATTGAGCTTGAGGAATATGATAAAACTAAAATCTTAAGAAGTCCTAATCCGAGACTGTTATTTTTGGCTCTAACTTTGAAAGTCATTGATAACTTCTTAGGCCTATCTATTTTCTTTGAAAGTTTATGTAAATTTACTAAAAAATATGTTTGTTGATGAGATTTGGTCCATCAGTTAAGTGAGTCGGGTCACCTTTTCCTCATGCTCAAAAGTTTTAAACTATTTTCCAATTTGAATTTATTGCAGCATACTTGTTCAAGTTGTAAACAACCAATCATTGAGACGTTCTAGTGAAATTTATGCGGCTAAAAATCAAACTGAAATATAGGCTATTATTTAAATAAGGTGAAATGGTTGAAGCTACCAAAGGACTTTGAACTTAGCTTCAACCAGTTTAGTAACTAATATAAGTAATTAAAACTCTTGACAATTATATATATATATGAATCGAAGTATAACTTATGTTCAGGCTGTCGCCTGCTACTTAAAATCAAAATCTCTCAAGTGAACGTCAATCTGAATTCATTGGAAGGCTTGAAAGCAATCAATTTTTTATTTTGTTTGTAGATCAAATTGGAATGAGTTGGGTCTAAGTGAAATTGAAATTGGGGTGGTTTAAGCTACAGAATGAGCAAAATTGTTAAAGATTCTAAAAGGATCTTACTTTGTAAGCAAATGATTTAGGAGTCTCTAGAGGTCATAAAAAATCATGCTTGCAAGATGTCACATTTGCTTGGCAAGCTAGATTACATGAGAGCATGATACAAGCTTCACCACCTTTTCTCTCTCCTTGCTATCTAGGGTTGGTCAAAAGATAAACCAAGGAAGAAATTTAAATTCCAAAAAGGAGGAAGAGAAAGAAGAGATTAAAATAAGAATCATATGGATAGGAGGATGTTTAAATACAAAATTTGGATGACAAGAATCAGAAGAAGAAGAGTTTGAGGATAAGATAAAGAATCAAAAGAATTTACAGAAGAATCCAAAGAAGTTCTACTTAATGAAATGGTTGCCCAATTTTTATCCCAAAAATTCTCCTCTTAGTCTTATGATTGTTGGCCATCCTTCATATGTTCCAAGGGAGCATTTAGTTGATTTAATTCATGATTATCTTTATTTTAGTTTTTAAGCCTTGAATGAGGAAGTGTCTTATGCATTAGCTTGACTAATTGCTTGTCAACACCTAGGATTTTTTTATCAATTAAGATTTTAAATAAATGTTTATGTAACTAAGATGAATTAACTGATTGGAATGAAGTTCTAAAAAATTCTCCTAAAAAAATCCTACAAATCTCTCCTCACCTCCCTAGTTTTTCGTCAAAATTATCTAGCCTCTTTATCTCTTCTCCGTTGCATGCTTTCCAAGGCATATCTTAAACAATGAGGGCATGATTTTTTATGTCTTTGACTTCTGTTGACTCCTTCATAAAAAAGAGAGAAAGGAGCGCCATCTACGCCTAAAAATCATGACATATTACTAAAAATCAAAATAAATTCTTAACTCCACACAAATCCAAATTTTATTTCCATGGTTATGAAAACCACCATAATTTCTGGACTTCCAAAAGTCTTTTGCCCACAAATCCTAGATCATAAATTCTTTCATTCAATCCTTTGGTTGAGCCCTTGCTAATGGATTCATATTTTATTTGTGAAGGTTTGCTATGTCTATTAATCGTTCCCTACACTGAAGAATCTTACCTAAAAGAACCTATGAGTTGTAAGAACAAGGCTACAATAGATCCAGTGTCGTAATAGCCAATTACCCTTTCATCCTAGATTGAGGAGGGTCAATTAGGAATCTTCAACTCAATTTTGGATTTTTAATTTCCAACTAATTTTGTGACTCTATCTATTCAGATAGAAGTATTTTTACATGAACTATTCAGGATATATAGTACACTTGTCATGCCAATTCAAGTTTAGTTAAGTGAGCCACTAAACACAAACTCTGCTTAAACTTTAGCTCTATGCAAAATGCGGTCTATTTTCATGTCTTACTTTAGATCTCTTCACCTTTTCTTCTAGTTTTTCCAATCATAAAGTGGGTTTATAGGGCACTTCGTTTGTTCTTCACGTGGAAAGCAAATTTATGATATTAATGCTTCTGAAACGGCAATATTGTTATTTTAGTAGGGTTTCTGAGCTGTTAAGTGCTTGAACAACATGATTTTCAATCAGTTTCTTCTGCTTAAGGTTGCTGAACTTGTCATGTAATTGTTTTGCGCACATGAAGTGTACTTCCAGCATTAGTTACGTTTGTTGCTTCAGTAAATTGGAGAAGATCTTTTGCTTTGGGAGGAAAAAGAACATTTGGCCTCAAATTTTGAAGTTTTCTCTGACGCTCATTTAATTGAGACCACTTTCTTTAATCTTCATTCCAGTACATAATGGATAAAATCCTAAGGAGATATGCCTGTTGTTGCTGTTGTTGTTCATTTTAACCCTTTTGTAAAGGTCCTGTTAGGATTTAAATTGCCCATTTACTGTTAACTTTGATGAGCACCTATTGAATTTTAACTTTGATAATGAAACATAAAACTCTTCAACTCAATAAAGAAGTATAGGTTAGCAATTTAAAAATTTCATTCTGATATGCTGTTTAATATGCTTTGGGGTGATATTGTTTACTGAAGTAATATATACTTGTATTATGAGTTTTGGAATCCTCATTGTATGGATTGGTTTCGGTTTGGAATGCAACAAAGGCATCACTAATGATGGTTGAAAATATTTCCCTAGATTTTTTATGTTTATGTCTGTGCGGTTGCATGCATCCCTGTGGTCATTTTTTCATAAACTAAAAGTGCAAAAACAGCAGGGCATTCAAATAAATTTCATATTTATTGTCCAATGATTTATCCGCTTACATTTTCTTTCTTCTTATTATGCGTTACTACACTTTGTACACTACCACATATCCTAATTCAGCTGAGTTATGTTGGAGTTCCCCTTCTTACGTGCTATAATTTGTGTTTTGTTTCAGCATCTTTTGCTTGGTGCTGTTCCTTTTCCAAAAGACGTTCTTCATTTACAGGAGCTTGGAGTTCGTGGTGTTGTTACTCTTAATGAACCATATGAGACGTTGGTACCTTCATCTCTCTATAAAGTGAGTTTTTAAATATTTTTTTTTTCTACTTTTTGCATGTTTGGAATAGTGTTCTACAGTTTTAGTTGAGATGCATGAATGTCTAACATTTTATAAAAAAAAGAAATATAATACTGATTTTTGAGAACATTTGGACAACATTTTGGTATATAATTAATTTAAAATAAAAATCTTTTTTTAACTTAGCATGGAGTTTCTTCAAACAGATATGGAAGATATTATTGTGTATGTCAAAAGAGGTTGTCATCCCTATTTCTTATTGTTGTTGCGGTTATATTATAGAATTATGGTTTTCAGTTTAAGTGCCACGCACTTATGATTACTGGTAAAAATGTATGTGTTCTAACTTATAAATGCATGTAGTCAGTATTTTACTTTAAAAAAAAACAGATTATAATTATTTATTGGAATAATTTGTTTATTCAAAATAAGTTATCTTAATAATACTTTAATTAAAAAAAAGATTATAATTATTTATTGGAATAATTTCTTTATTCAAAATAAGTTATCTTAATAATACTTTAATTGGCTGGTTGTCTTTTTATAAAGTTGGATTAACAAAATTTAGGAACCCAATTAAAGTTTCAAGGAAGATTGAAATGAGCTAAATGACATTTATTTTATTTTAGACTTAAAAATTAATCTGAATGTGGAAATAAAATATTAAATCGAAACAATTGAAATCTAAGAAAATTAGTTAAAAAGTTGGTAAAAATCTATATAATGAATTTAAATTTTCATTTGGTTTCATTTTCATAGTCTTATGAAGTTGTTTAAACTTCCTGTTGTACTAGTCAATGGCTTGCTTGAATTTTTGGCAATTTTGAACATGCTTTGAATGTTAAATCATGTTATATAGAAAATGTTTAGTGAGTCTAAATTATTTAAATAAAACACGTCAGTTTTTCAAAATTTGTTAATATATACTTAATTTGTTTCAAATGGATATTAATGCAAAATTGTAAATGAATTTTGAAAATTAAATGTAAATGGATAAATTTAAAGGTATTAGTTTGAAATATTAGATTGTAATTTTACTTAAAATAAATTATTAGATGATTAAGGTTTACTAAAATCTAAACAAAGGAATGGCTTTGATCTAAAGCAAATGAATAACTTTGATTTCATTGTTTTATGCTTACATTCGATTTCAACTTGACAGTGAAATTTTGGAACATTTGAACTAACAAAATAAAATATTTTGAAATAAAAACATAATTGTTTAAGTTGATAAAATGTGTTATAGAGTATCAACTTATATAATTAATTGTTAATTAGTTTTCACAAGTTATAGGTAGATCGGCTCCTTGCATGTCACCTCATTGATCCATATGTTATTGAAATTAATCTCTATGAATTATGACTAGATTGGTTTCTTGCAGGCCACTTGACCAAATATTTGTGTTAATGAATGACACCTCACCAATTCATGTGTGTGAATCTATTATAATTAATTATATTGCTAAATTTGTACTCTTAATTGGGTGTACTTCCTATTATGTAATCCTATTAGGATTGTATTAATATTGGTCAAAGGATGGAGTAAAATTCAAGCAATTTCATGTTCCACTTTCTTTGTCATGTTATATAAGCTTGGCCGCTAAATCGTCATCTTTATTCTCCCTTTAAACAGTCCTTTGCCGAAGCAAATTAGAGATTTATTTTATTTGCTTTGTGGTTGAAGGTCCGGCGAGGATCTTCTGTTTCACAAGTCTTCTTGTGGTCTTGCTCGATGAAATGTTCATCTTCAGAGTTTATTGAGGTCAGCTTGAGAATGGCTTTAACCTGTTCACACCCGCAAGGAATTCAAGAGCTTGTGTGCAGCTTCAACACTCTCTTCCTTTGATTTTCCGTTATGGCTAGACTTTGATGAATCTATTTTCCGGAGAAGCTCACTTTTGGTTCTCTGAAGGGATTTGGATCTATTCAAACTACCCTTAGAACTTTTACCTCGTCGTGAACTTCTCTGATCTAAAGCTCATTATTTTGACTATGGATAACACAATAACTATTGTTTTGTATATTTTTGGCATTAAAACCCAAGGGTAAAAACTATTTGAACATTTAAATTTTGATTCTAACCTTGATCAATTTGCACAATCAAAGTTGACTCAATATCAAAATAAAGATATAGGAGTTATAAAATAATTCTTAGGATTGGTTGATCTGATAAATGTTCTTAATCTAAGGCTATATATTATGTCTAAAGATGTGGGAAATGTAGGAAAGATTTACAAGCAGGATAATCAGCAAGGTGTTCCTAGTTAGAATATGAGATTGCAATTTGCATTTAAGGAGAGCTCGCAATTCAGGATTATTTTTTCCTGTGCTTCAAAAATTTTGGATAGAATAGGTTAATATAATCTATGCAAAAGTATTTTATGAGTCTCTTTAGGTTGTCCAATAGATTCATTGACAGACTAAGGGAGATTAATTATTGATGAAATTTTACCATGAATTTGAGCCGGTTTGTTCTAACTTAATGAATTCTGATCCCTTTTTCATTGTTGGATGTGCGCTTTAGAAGAATTACTTTGTGAGGAGCAACGACTTGTGACTTAAACCACCTTTCAAAATCAAGTATATGAGAATGTTGTTGCATGTACAACTCAACTGAAAAATAAAAGAAAAGACATGCAATATATATAATGTTACGCTTTCAAGGGTTACTGGCATAGTGCTGCAAATTGTGCAAAAAAACATTACAATAATTGTAAGAAATCTGGACATGCGATTAAAGAATATTGAAAACTTATGTTGTTGTGACAATCAAATTTTACGTAATCAACAGTCAATAATTAGATAATTAGTTTGGCAGCCACGGACAAACTTTAGATTGCTTCTGAGATAGTGTAATGGATGATAAGTAAAGTCTTATTTGCTTTAGAGCTTCTAGGTATGGATACATTAGTCTCTTCATCTTGTTTTGTGGATTCGTGTTTCTCTAATCATATGATTGGTACTTCGTGTCTTTTTCATAATATGGAGATAGTAACCATGCAATTGCTAATGGTAGTCAATTATCTATATAAGTTATTAGAGGTAGTAACTATACAATGATAGATGTCCTCATATCTTCTATACAGTCAATTACCACTCAAAGGTGCTTTTATTATTCTATACCACTATAAATTAAAATAATTTATATGTTATCTCACAAATAAATTATGATTTATTGGAAAAAAAAATCAATTTACTTGTCCTATCTCACTAGATTGATCAACTTGCAACTTTGGAAAAATAAATCTTATGTACATCATATAATAGTCGTGCTTAAATCTATTGCTGTTGGATCTACAATGATGTGTGAGATATCGCTTTTATTATATCACATGCAAATTATAAATTTTTGTAACATTATTTGATAATTACATCAGGTACATCTGTATTTCCTTTTTTAATCAAAAGTCTGAAGTGTTTTGTTTTTAAAAACAATTGTTGCTATTGTTGAGACTTAGTTTTCAGCTCACATCAAAATATTTAGAATTGATCCTGAATCTTAATATATATTACTTGAATATGAGGATTTTCTTTAAACTAAGGGAATTATTTTTAGAGATCATGCTCTTATACTCCTCAACTAAATAGTGATGTTGAACGAATCAATATAAATATACACATGATTTAATTATCTTAACACGGTTTCAGAATACCTCCCCTACAAATACTTCATTATATGTTGACATATTGTAGTAAGGAGATACTCTCTTTGTTCCCACCAAATATGGATAACTGGTAAGTAGCCTAAAATATTTGACTCTTACTTAGCCGGGTATTCCTTTCGTAGTTCATCAAATAAGTCAATTCATGCAAATCCTTTTCACTTTGTTTTCATTCATCTAATCATTCAATATTTCATTGGGACATCAAACCGTGGTTTGTTTTTTTGACATTGGTTCTCATCTTCAACTAGTGGGATATATTGATGCTGATTGGGCAAGGTGTATGTTCTTAATTCTTAATAATTCTTTGATCTCATGGAAGAGTAAGATAGCCTCATTTGTCAAAATTATCTACATAATATAAGTGTCATGTTATGTCTTCAACGTGTTCAAAAATTTATCTGGCTATGTTAACTGCTAACCAAACTTGATTTTCTCAAGAAAGTCTAGCTTCTATATAGGATGTCAATACAAGTGTCATTGAAATTACTGGCATTCAAGTGCTTATTGAAGTTAATTTTTGCTCAATGCAAGAAGCCTTCAATACTAATATTATTTCTTGTACTCACATCAGTCTTTTGTAAGTAATTGAGGCTTCTTAGTCAACCAAGATCAATTTAAGGGCGGATGGGCATATAGAGTTAGTTCAAAATTAATCTCTACAATTTATGGCTGGTTTGACTTTCTGCATGCAATCTTATGGATCAGCATGTTCATGAAATTAATCTCACTCTAATATTGCTAAGATTAGCTCTTTGCATATCCCCTCACCATTCCGTGTGCTCATGAATGCTATCTTATCAATCCGTGAGTGCGTATTTTTTATAATTAACTGTATGGCTAAATCTTTGCTCTTGATTAGATACTTTCTGTTATATAATTTTTTTTTAGGATTGTATAAATATGAGTCAAATGATGGAATAAAACCTAAAGCAATTCTGCATTCCGCTCTCTGTTATTGATAACCTAAATATTAAATTTAACACGCACGCACACAGACATATTTGAAAGTGAATTATGCCTGTTCATGTTATGTATTTATATATCTATTATAGGTGCTGGAGATATTAATATAGGAGAATTGCACATAACTGGAGATGTAAATATATGAGAATTGTGTGTTATATACGTAAATCCAATTTATTAAAAATATTAGATAATACTTTTATATAATAAAAATATCAGCTGATTAAGATTTAATGAGATGTAAAATGAAGGAATTCTTAAGATCTAAAATAAATGATTGATTGTGATTTCTTAAGGTCTAAACAAACATATGGCCATGGTTTTGTTTCGTCCAAGTTTTTATTTGATGGTAATAGTCCCATTGATTTAAAAATACAAAAATTGAACGATTGTCAATATTCCCAAATAATTTTTATAATTTATAACTATTTGAATTTATTTTTTAGAATATAAATTATCTTAAATGGATATCAAAATAAAATTCTGAATGGAAATGAAAACAAAATTTTGAATGGATAGAGTCAAAATTATAAATTTTAAAATATTAGATTGTTTATATTTAATAAGATCTAGAATAAACAAATTGTAAGTTCTAAAATAAATAAATGATCATGATTTCTTAAAATAGCAGCCTTGATTTTATTTGCCATATTTTCAAATACTTTTTTAATGATAGTATAGATTGCGAGCATATATAGCGCATACACTTCCAAGGGAAAGAGGATTTGATGGTCTTATGATTTTTCACAATTGATGCATTCTTATTCTAATTTTTTGTTTTAGGCTCATGGAATTGATCACCTTGTGATTCCCACCAGAGATTACCTCTTTGCTCCTTCAGTTGTCGACATCTCCAGGGCTGTCAATTTCATTCACAGTAAGACACTGCTCTTCGACTGATAACTGAGTGAATATTTTAAGTTTGCTGTTGTAAATTTTAAAATTCATGTGTTATGATTTTTTATTATTTTTTTCAACCTTTGAATGTTGCAATGATCTTGAACTTTGTAGCTATTAGGATAGAGCTATTATCTGGTGATTTTCTAGTACCCTAATTTCTTGCATAATTTATTGGATGATTTACATGCATATACCACTCAATTCCTATGTATTTACATATCTAACACCTAAAGTTCAATTTTTTACATATATATGCCACCTTACTCATGCATTAGAAGGTGTATTTCCCTTTTTTAAAGTTACAGTAGTGGTATTTTTATGTGATATACAAGATTTGAATGGTAGAAATGTAAAAAAGCAAAGTTTAGATGTTAGATATGTAAATAAATAGGAGCTGGTTGGTATGTATGTAAGTGCCCTAATTTATTCCAACAAATAGTTTTCAGAACTTATTCTCATGTTATGAAAACATGCATCCACGTTTTATTCTGCTTCTTCCCCTTGTGTGGCCTGAATATTTATGAGCATGGCTTAGTGATGCTAGCTTGAACGTTCATCCTTGTTTGCGGTATGAAATCACGTACTTTCTTTATGGTGAAAAAAAGTATCTGCTGCACTTTAGGCTTGGGGTAAAAAAAATTGGCATTATTATTGTTAAATTGGAGCTTCTTTGCGGTATGAAATCACGTCCTTTCTTTATGGTGAAAAGAAGTATCTGCTGCACTTTAGGCTTGGGGTCAAAAAAATTGGCATTATTATTGTTAAATTGGAGCTTCATGATTTTTTTTGGAGGATTTGTATATATATATATATATATATTACTTAATTCGTATGTGTTTACATATCTATTTACATATATGCCATCTTACCTATGCTTAAAAAGGCGTATTTCACTTTTTAAAAGTTAAAATAGTAACATTTTTATGTAACATGAAAGATTTGGGTGGTATAAATGTAAAAAAAAAAAAACTTTAGATGTTAGATATGCAAATATATAGCAATTGGTTGGTATGTATATAAATGTCCCCCCCCCCATCTTTTTTTTTTTATTATTATTCTATGTATCATCTTCTGGGTTAACAAATGCTATAATAGAATACGCTTTGTAGTTATGTTAATCAGCTTTGTCTTCTCTGGTTAGGGAATGCCTCCTCTGGCAGAAGTACTTATGTTCATTGTAAGGCCGGAAGAGGACGTAGTACCACTATTGTTTTATGCTATTTGGTAAGTGCCTCTTTTGTTGAATTCTTATATATATGTGTGTATATGGTGAAGTATTCCTTGATTAATTATGATAAATTGCCCTTCTCAAATTTTCAGATAAAATATAAGAACATGACACCTACTGATGCCTTCGAACATGTTCGATCCAAAAGGCCTCGAGTGCTTTTAGCTCCATCGCAATGGCAGGTATTATGATTTCTCCAGTTTAACCATTTATTGTATTTTAGTTGTTATGGCAGTAGTGAAGAAGGTAAACATTCTTCTGAAATGCTGTTAATCTTGTGTTTATCAACGATGGCTGAAGGCAAATGTGCATTTGCGTCTTAAATATTAATGCTATTCCCTTAGGATGTGTTGGTCCTAATCTAAGAACAACTCGGTTTACATCACTAAAACCATACTCGAGAAATAAAGGGGAAAAAATTATGCCAGAAGCTCCTTTTACATTTTTGTGATGGTAGTGCAAGATAAATGATTAAAGAGTATTGCATTTAATTCAAAATACAAAACAATTTTATTTTTTATCTTAGGTCAAAAATTGATTTTGAGTGTTTAGGAAACAATTGGGTTATAGTTATTCCATAGATGTCTTATATTTATAATCAAATGCCATCTTTTGATACTTTATTTTGCACTTTGGATGCAAACATGTTTTCGAGTAATTTCTTGTTCAAAATAAAGTGGGTTTGAGGTGGGATGAAATAATGACCCATCAGTCGAGGGAAAAACCTGTAATATTAATTGTCATTCGAAATGTATGTGTTCTTTAAAAGAAAAATTAGGAAGGTTTACAGACATGCCACTTAAATTCCTAATTATTTACATATCTAACTCCTAATTTCCAATTTTTACATATACACCACATTACATATTTATTAAAAGGTGTTTAGAAGTTAAAATAGTGATATTTTTTATTTGATGTATGTGCGAAAGCAGCAGACGTCACAGGAGACGGGGCAACAAAGGGTGCAGGAGGAGGTGTCACAGGAGGTGTAGTAGCAGCAGGTGGGAGAGCAGTAGTGGAAGTAGTGACAGCAGTAGACTATCTCCTCTTCCTACTACGGTAGGTAGTTTCTAATGTCCCCAAAACACAGGGTCTCTGAGGTGGCTGACCAACCACACCACTTTTGACCATCTGCAAACAAAGAAATGACATTAATAAGATTAGTACGGGTATGAAAAATAATCATAAGTTGAAAGAAATGATGTAGTAAAGGCAAGGCAGAAGTAACAACTATTTCTAAAAACAGGAAAAGAGAATAAATATCGATGCCTCAGAACAACAAAAATAAAAGATAAAAAATAGCAATAGTAACAACTAATCTAAAATTGCATACCTATGTTATTAAGTTTCATCAGAGGTATTCATCATCGAAGATGACCTTAAAATTTCTTCTTCACTCTCATCATCATTCTCATCTATATCATGAGCAAACTTTTCAAAAATCCCCGTGATATTCTCTAGCGCAAACATTTCATCGTCTTTGCCGACTTGAATACTAAAATCTTACATACCTTCCTCTTGGTGAATTGGTTTTATAGTACTATAATAGTTTTCCTTGGTTTATTCTTCATAACCACAACCCAATCAACTTTATTCATTACTCTACCAGGGTATTGAAGGTAATTAACTTGTGTAGCTTGGCGTGTCAGAATAAATGGATCAAACTTTGCTATCATCTGTTCAATTTGACTTCAGTGATATCATAAGGTGTGAGTACAGTAGCTGACATTGTGTACTCGATGTGGAACATGATCAAACCACTAACAGTCGATCAAGTAAACAATGTAGCTGACATTACCTGGATATGCAATAGAACAACTTTGTCAAGACGTCGTAATAGCTAATCTCGCTATTTGTGTGTGTGTTTCCGTTAACAACGACATCCCAACTATATATCTTTTTCCCTTCACACTATGAACTCTTACGAAATTTATAACCGTTTAAGTCAAATATCTGTCATGTAGTAACACTGTGATTAGGCCCCCAGGCAAGATCTAGTAATATCTAATATGTGATTCCATTGGATATATTGTAAACCTATAACAAATTGAGAGGTATTATTAGTGTAACTTCAAATATGGCAATTATATTACACAAATGTGCTTAGAAGGGTTGCTTCTACGTGCATTTTATTTGGGCAATGTTGGAAATTCTGCTTCGACCTTCCTGCTTATCAGAGACTCATCTTCCATGTCCAAATTGTCGATAAATAACTTGCTCACAATATTATTATTTATGTTTTTGAATTAGTTAGTATATAACTAACATTCTCAATAATAAATGACGGTATATATTGAGTTTGGGGATCGTGAAGCTTACTGTATAAATGATTGGATTTTATCAGAGTTCATCAATACATACAATACAACTGACTGAATCTATTTATCACTTAAATATTGTGTATCTTGACTCCCCGATGACTCACCTGATATTTGATATATGGATAATTCTGGCTGTGAAGTCATGTCACCTACAATATGACTTTTTTAATGACCTTGCTCAAAATAATACGAGCAGAAAGTTATTGCCACCTACGGATATACTTCGCAAATCGATCCCTCAGGATGTGTTTTATTCTTAACTGTTTTTTCTATTTTATTTAAAAATCTAAAGCACGTATATTTTATATTTAATATGGTGTCATTTTAATATGAAATAAAATGTTACTTGTAATGTATGCATCAGGGAGACATCTCTCTCGAAAGGATACATCATATGTATTGCACTGGACCCCCTAATATAGCCTCCTAACATCAATGTATAGTCACATACTCCATAGTGAAACTAAGAGGAAATATCCGCTTAAGCTTACATAATAATAGGGGAATACGTGCATCGTGATATCTCAACGAGTCAACATTCAGTGTCCCCGCGCACAACTCTTTGAAGAATATCAAACACCGGCTATGGCAACGCATGAAATACCATGGGTAATAAGCACCGCAGAAATATAGAACAATCATGACTTTTTATGCCAAGTACAATGAATGATTTGGTTGGTATAAAGGTAAAAGCAAAGTTTAGGTTTTAGATATGTAAATATATAAGAATTGAGTCGTGTGTATGTAAATGCCTCAAAATATTATCATTGGTTTTTAATTTTATCTGCCTGGTTTGCTTTTCACTAGTCCCTGGTACATTGTGCGTACTGAAATGTTCATATTCCAAATAAAAATCACAAAAACAATATCTAGTCATATTGCAACACAAATCTCACGCTTATCTCTTCATATTTTAAAATGAAATTTTCGCAGGCGGTTCAAGAATTTGGAAAGCGCAAGACACAATTTCCTCCACTTTCACGGAAATGTTCCACCGCGAGCGACGCCATCCTGATAACTGAAGCTGATATTCAAGGTTATAAAACCAACGAGGATTGCTTTGAAAATCAGGCGATTATACTGCACTCCCCGGCAAAATTTAAGCCGCCAGTCCTCTCGCAGCTGGGTTTCACAATAGGAGATGAGGTTTTGATCACATACGAAGATTTGGAAGGCTATGACAGCATCGCCGACGAAGCTTCTGAAGATCGAAGAAACAAAATTGCAGGCGCCGGCCGGCCTATGGTTTCGAAGCTTTCCTGCTTCTTTTCAACGCTCAAAATTTCACCCAGCAGCCTTTTCCCTTCTAACCGGCTCCAAGAAGTCCAAGCTTGCTAGCTTTATTTTATATTTAGCAGTTTGGTTGGGCATTTTTTTTTTGTCCATGGAGTTGTTGGAAAGGAAGAGTGCAAAAAAATTATCTTTTTTTCAAATTGTATGTTTTCATCAAGAGATTTGGATTTTCCAGGAAGTAAGAACAATAAATGTTGTTATTATGCGTCTAATTATTGATGCATGTTGTGTTAATCATGTGGTTAGTTTTAGTTGATATTTTTATGTTGAATAGAATAGTTTATTGTCAAAATAAATATTTAGTAGAGGTTTTTTTGATATGTAAAGCCTCTCTTATCTTTGTTTACTAATTTTTTTGTCATCATGTCTTCATCATTGTTAGTCTTGTCCCAATTGTATCTGCTTGATGTTATGAGGCTGTTTAGACGGTGAAAAAAGGCATGTATTGTATTTGCAATACGCATGTTTTAATTTTTCTGCTGTTTGGGTAGAAGCATATCAAATGTGATGTATTCCTACGACGTATTACCAATATATCAAACTTGATTTGATTATGCTTCTTGGTTTAGAGCTTGTAATTGTTAAATTGTTCACAGAAAGGTTCAAGTTTTGGGTGGCTTTTGGTTTCTGTATTTTGTACATTTTTGTATGTTTGAAAGAAGGATTGGGTAATAATTGAAGGTAGGGAGATTGTTTCAAGGGTTGATCTGCTTGGCCATGTTTGGCCTTCATATATATTAAACATTTGGAAGATTTAAATACCACTCAATTCCTATGTTTTTGCATACCCAACGCCTAACTTCAATTTTTATATACATGCCAGCTTACCCATGCATGAAAAGTTGCATTTCGCTTTTTAAAATTTAAAATGGTACTATTTTTTATCTGATATGGAAGTTTTGGGTGTTATTAATATAAAAAAGTAATGTTTAGGTGTAGATATGTAAATACATAGGAATGGGGTGAGTTCAATGCCACACCCTAATTTCAATAATATCACTTAAATATTTAGCTTCAATTATTCGGCCCTTATAAGTGAGTTGAATCCTCCTATTCCATTCTTCCACTCTTGGTTCGTTCGGCCCTACTCATTAGAGATAAGCATACTATTTCTGCTGATGTTTTCTTAGTATATAGATCGTATCTCTTGAGTTTGTCTGCTAGATATGTTCAATGAAATTGTTTCAACCTATATAATTCACAAGTCATATAAAAAAGCTGGATCTTTACAAATTTTTTCTAATTTTTTGGAAATTTAACCAATTTATATGACATTTGTAAGTCTACTAACTAAATAGTTGTATCCATTAGGACGTGAAGAACCATAAAGCAGATCAAATTGAGGAAGAAGAACCAATGACTGGTTTTGTTGAAGAGCGTTTGGATATATACAAATACCAACTCAACAAGAGGATATCCTCAATCCCCGCAAGAAAAGAGCAAATATGAGGGGAGGAAAACACAAAAGATGAGTAGTGCTATGATACGAATGTTGATTATGATTTCAAGGTGGACTATTAGATGAAGGATGTTGGTTCTGATCTCAATAACTCCTTCATGGAGGTTAAAGATGAGAAAGGTGAAATCATAAATTATGTTCCAATGTCTGCAGGTGAAGAGGATTAATGAATTGCTATATTCAAAATTTATTTTATTATTTCTATTCTAGATTATTAAATTTTGATTCATTAAGACACTATACGAGAGACACTGTTATCCTGAATGTATGAGCATGAAAAAAATGCAGCATAGGAGAGAAAATTGTGGTGATGATACATTTATTTGCTTATGGTCGGAAAACTAATATGTTTTCAGAACTTTATATCCCAGCCTTTGAAAAATAAAAATGTCTAATTATTATTTCAATTGCCTTTCAATTATGGTTGCAGTGCAGATGTTTCTAAGATGTTCTATGTGATTAAATTGTGGAGGATTCTACTTAGGTCCATGAGATTATTTTATTTAAATGAATGAAACTTATCAGTAAGTCAGCTTTTTGAATTGATTTTTGTCATCTTTACTGTGAGTGCTTGTGGAAGATATATTCAGTATGGAACATTTGAGGTTTATATTTAAATTGCTTTAGACATAATACTAAAATTCTTAGCTTTTATTGCTTATTGGATGTTCCAAAATGCTTTAGCTTGCTTTTCTTTCTTTCTTTCTTTCTTTTTATCATTAAAACTATAACATTAAAATAGGTATATTTCACAAGGTGGTAGTTATTAAATTACTTATAATTGAATTTAGAGGAATCTTAAATATAATAAATATTAGTCATTTGTCCCATCAAAGCTTGCTTCAAATGACCTATTTTTCTCCTTCACAAGTGATTGATCCTATTAATGCCCACCCCTAACAATTTGAACCAGCCATGAACTCCTCTTCTCTTTCACAGAGCATTAGAATCATTGATGGTTGTTGCTGGCTTGCTTCTTATCACCTTTATGCAACATCGGTCCCATTGATGACCACCCCAAATGATTCTTTGTAACCAATATTCAAATCAATTTTAAATAAGTATTTGAGTGACTTAAAATTTAGTGAGTAATTTGTGAAAGTAAAAGAGTTTTCCTCTTTTGAGATAATTTCATTCAGAACTAACTCTTTATATATTATTCCATGTAATTACATCTTGAGGTTACTTTTATAAATAATAAAATTTGAGTAGCATACATAAAATTGCATCTAAGAAAAATCACTTGAATGACTCATATGACATGATGATGGCTATCTAGTTCCTTAAATGAAAGTGTTGGCTCACATTAAAGTCATCATTCCAATTTATTAATTATTTTTTATATAATTATGAGTAAATTTTGGGCCATTTAAATGCATGCCACATAATTTTTGCATATTTACATATCTAGAGCCTAATTTTTATATTTAGAGGCCTAATATAAAAAAAAAAACCCTATTATTAATTTTTAAAAGTAAAATCATATTTTCATGCATAGATTTATGGCATCAATATTCCAAGTCAACATTTTTAGCTTGATTAATTTATTTTAATTTTTTGTAAAGCATGATTAGTGGATGTCATGATGGTTGGTGACCACATAAGTGTTTTCCATGCTGTCAGCATGAACGTGCCAGCCTCTTGCTGACAACATAAGGCATTGCTTTATTCTTTATTCTACCATGTAGTTGTGATACACTAATTTTTTGAATTATTTTTTATATATTTTTTCCCTAAAATATTTTTAATGGCGTTTTTGTAATTTAGAAGGGGCTGCATAAAGGATTGGTTTATCAAATTCAGTAACTGTAAAATAATTTGTTATTTTGATATTATTATAAATATAATTATTATAAGGTGCTACATGATATCATGATTAAAGTAATTCATGAAAGTTCTATCAACGTGCAAACATGGCCCCAAATGGTGCCCATGAATTTCTTTCAGAACGATTTACATACATATCACTCAATTCTTATTTATTTACATATCTAACATCTAAATTTTAATTTTTACACACATACCACCTTACCACTCTACATCAAATATCCCGGAGCACCACCACCAGATCCGGCGAATCTTTGAGATTCAAGGCAGTCATCACCTTTCCGACATGTTCATGACAACCTACCGAAGAGCCGAGCAGTCTGCCTGGATTGGTGAGGGGTTCTGGGGTCAGTTGACCGAGGCTTGGGCCTCTCCTGATTATGAGAGGAGGAGGTAGACGAACCGGGCAACGGAAGGGGCCAGGGGAATTTTGGAGGATCAGTCCCACATACGGAGCGCTTCATGAGGCTGGTAAAATTTTTTTAGATATTTAAACATTAACTCACTTTTGGAGTAATTTTTTTAGCGCTAATCATTTTTATACGCAACACTGGGCAAAGAGTTGAGATGTTCTCTTTCCGTTGTGAAGCTGCATGTCAATACTCATCTGTGTCCAAGGACTGTGCAGCTGGTCTCGGATTGACGTAAGTTAAAAACTTTAAGGTAAAAGCTTATTTTGACTCTAATTGCTGAAAATGTCAATTAAACACTGATTTTCTTTATGCAAAGGGAGTTTGAGCAGCTCCGGGAGAGACACTTGGCCACTGAAGCCCGGACTAATGCCATTAATAGTCGTATTTAGTCTACCACTACACACTTCGAGTACAATCTTTGGACCCAGACGACTAGGAGGTAAAAGGGGAGGGTTTATGTCCTTCGAGAGAAGGACATAGCTTTCGAGGTCGAGCTCTCCCATGGTCCCGTTCTTAGTTCCCCAAGCTCTTCGTAGCCTGACCAGAAGGCTCTTTCCAGGTAGATGGCTGAAATGAACGAAGAGAACCGCCAGTGGCGAGAATAGTCGGGGCAAGCAACCACTGACATCCGTGTAGGAGGAGGATAAAGATGATGAATAGTTTTTTTTTTTTTTAATTTATAAGCATTATGTAAATCATTTGTTGTGCATTTATTTGAATTAACTTTACTATTCTTATTTGGGACTATTTTTGACAGCATCTTCCTTTTATTAGTGATATTATTTAGAGATTTGATTTGTGATATGACTATGTTTGAAGTGGTTTGTGATGTGGATTATGTTTATGTGCAGGTTGTGAAAATGTAACTAATATTCTAATTTTTTTTTCTATGTTACAGGTATGCGTCAGATTTGGGTCGATTTTCAGAAGCAAAATTTTGACCCTACAACTACAATATTTTTTCGTCGTTCTACGATATTTTCTGTCGCAAATGAGACGGTAATCTAACGCTAAGATTCATTGTCAGAAATTTTCTGAGGCAAAATTCGAAGCATATACGTGTTACATATATGCAAATCCAATGCTAATCTTTAAATATTGTTGGATTTGGGTCTAATCCGTCTGACACAAATATGCTAAATTCATGTAGCGGTGAATACATCTCCGGATAGTGATATTTTAGGATACTCTAAATTAATAAGTGTTGCGTGCTGGAAAATTCGCAACGGTAGCATGAGGATTCAACACACACTCAGATGAAAGGAAATCAACTTGTGATGACACTAGAATTTTTTACGCGGAAAACCCGTAAAGGGAAAAAACCACAAGACTTAGTCCAGTGGCTTAGTCCATTTATAAAAATTCGCTATAAGTTGATGATTACAGATGAAGACTTAGTCCAGTTATAAAAATTCGCTATAAGTTGATGATTACAGATGACTCTTGTCCCACAGACGGGAAAGGGTTATTAAATTTTCCAAGGTACAACGTCGGCTAACGACGTCTAGTTGGTGGTGATTGACGGAGGTCGGCGGTGATCGATGGTAGTCGATGACAGTCTGCGGTGGTCTACGGAGGTCAGCGATGGTAGACGACAATTGGTGGTCGACGATTGATGAAGGAGGATAATGGAAGTCGACTGCGGTCGATGACAGTGAGCAATGGTCGATGGAGGTAGATTGTGGTTGACGGTGGTTGACGATGGACGACGGTCGGCCTCCGTCAATGGAAGTCGACGATTGATGAAGGAGGATAATTGAAGTCGACTGTGGTCGAGGACGCTTGACGGTGGTCGATGACTGTCGCTGGTGGTTGAGGGTGGCCGGCTGTGAACGTTGACGGTCGGTGGTGGTCGACGACAATCAACGACGACAGAGATGATGTTTGACTTGAACTTCTTCTCAAAACCTCAAATTTTCTCTCATGCCTCTCCCCCCTCATGTGAAGGGTAGAGCTTTATTTATTGTGTTTTGGGTGCAATTAATGCATGAAGATGAACCATTTTGATCGGACGGTCCAGAGAGCTTCCCTTGATCGGATAGCATTTGATGGACATTTGAGTGTCGTAACGATGTCAGAATTGAGCATTCTCGGGCTAGTTGGATTCGTCTTGTCGAGGCGCTCGATCCAACTATGAACTCGTTAGATTCGACATCCGTTTGACCTTTCAAATGCCTCAGGAAATCCTCCAAGAATTATTTAATGATTTGATCCGGGCTTGATCTGACTCGTATTGGACTAGTTTTTATATCATTGGGTTCGTCTCATCGAGCCGGTCAGTTTGACCATAAGTTTACTGAAATCAGAGCTCTGGGTGATTCTTAATCAAAATTTGAATATTTCTTACTCAAAATATTATCTCGAGATCCGTGTTATCTCGAGATCCGTGTTATACTTGAAAATTTGTTGGTGGCGTATCAGTAAGCTTAAAATGTGTTTTTACTTGAGAAAAAAAGGTGATTTGCATGGTGAGCAGACATTGTGTAAAGGAAAATAAGTTGAATAAAGTTCCTCACTCTAAAATAGGATCACAAAGTGGTTGATTTTCTATTAAATGAAACACAACAGATATGAAATCAAATAATTTGACATAAAAGAGATGTTTAAAATTACAGTAACATTTTTCAATCTCTAACAAAGGCACATCAGCCAAAGGGTGCTAAAAGGACTTAATAACAACTCAGAGAAAGATCCTAAAGATGAGCCTTATAAATTCTTAAGAGACTTTATGGTGATAGAGCAGTTCTGTAGCAATTATATAGAACTACGAGAGCTTCCAAAAATATCAAAAGGACACATTCATGGGAGATGGAGCGACTTATAAAAGATTGTCCATAGGCAAGGCTTTTAATTCCATAATTATTAGAGGGAGATGTCTGAAGACAAATCTTATAATATTATAAGAAGCATTTACTTCTATCAGTTATATTATTATTATTTATATTATTTGCATATAAATTTCTCTTTTGTGAATATAAAATATATTTTATATTATTTTATAATGTCTTATATTATTAGGGTGTATGGCTTTATGAACTAAGAAAGTGACATTATATTGATCTATGATGGCACATTCAACAAAGTAGAAACCAAAATTTTCACGTACCAACCTTCAGAATATGCTAAAAGACAACTAGAGGATGAATAAGATTTAAGGGTGTGATTGCTTATCAAAAAATTGTTTTCTTTTGGCGTGAGTTGATTACTTGAAGACATTTAAAAGTATACTTGTCCATTTTATATTACTTTGGAATGGGAGATAAACAATAGCCATCGCACGTTGACTTGCTATCATTATGCATCTATGTAATGTTGTGAATTCGCGCTGCGTACTCAGACTAGTTGGTCGGGCTCTGTCAGTTGTAAGTCCCCTCTGGTCTGGGTTCGATTCCCCTCGAATGTAGGGTGTGGTACTTGAATTCTTAGTTGAAATAAAACAAAATGTTGTGAATTCCAGTGACAAAAAAAATAAAAAGATTTTATTCATCTTGTTCTTGAAATATAGGCATAATTTAAGCCTAAAAATTATTAAGATTATAAGAGTAAAATATACATCACCCCTTTAATAATATATAAAAATAGTTAATTACATACATAGAAAATTAAATACTATTATTTACAAAACTAGCACTCAGATAATTTTTTTTTTACCGTCAAATAGATGCATTTATATGTGTCATGATAAAACCATTGATAATTTGATAAAAATGCAAAACGTGGATTGAGGTTTTATCATGAATGTTGATATTTGAGTGAAAATTTGAAAATTTGAAAAATGGATGAAAGTGAAAATTTGAAAAATGGATGAAAGAACTTGTTAAATTTATAAATAACAATGTTTTGAGTGATATCCATATAATTGCCCCAAAAAAACCTAGATCAAAGCTATAAATTATGAAGTACATATAGGGTTGTAGGCAATGTTTTGAGTGATATCCATATAATTGCGCCAAAAAAAACCTAGATCAAAAAGCTATAAATTATGAAGTACATATAGGGTTGTAGATGTGTCGAGCTTGAGTGAGCTCAGGTTTGGCTTGTGTTTGACTCTTTTGAAATTGCTCGTGAACATTGTGTTCGTGCTAACTCAATTTACATATTCTTGTTGGTGCTCAACCTAATTTATATATTCTTGTTCGTGTTCAACTCAATTTACATATTTTTATTTGTGTTCGGCTCGAAATGAGATCATTTAAATTAATTTGAAAAAATAGATGTAAAATGTCAGATTTAAACCAACACTAACATGGTATAATAAGAGACACATAATTATATGACTGCACAAGCTGTTATGATTTAAACTTAGATATAATATATATAATTTATTTATTTCAGGTTAAACCGAGCCAAACATGGTCGAATAAAAAATTATTGTTTTCAGCTCGTTTATAATTCGAACTTAAAAACATTATTTAAGTTTGTCTTACCTACTTAACAAATACTTTAAATACAAGCTACTTGACAAGTGAAACAAAAATTACTTACAAGCAACAAACTTTTTTAACACCCATAAATAAACAATAACACAATTTTGAAAAGTTTGAGCGGCTAATCAGGGAAAAAAATATTATGTCCGGACAACCAACCACCGGAGGCCACATTGCTTGCCGATGACAAGTATGACGACGTGGCCATAATGATTAGTTGTTCGGAAGTATAGTGTTCGGAACGAATATTTTCTTCTAATACGGGGCAACAAAAAATTATAATATGATGACAATTCTTATAAATAACAAATGACACTTGTAACATTTCTATCTCCCAAATTCACACCAAAATAACATCATCATTTATTATCCCACAAAAACCTTTATTAGATAATAAAGAACCACGGACGCCAACCGAATTGTCCAATATAGCTAATCCAGCGTAGGTGGCATCCAGTCCTCCCAGATCAAATATTCGTCCTTGAGCTGTCGCGATACTTTCATCAGCCGGTTTCTCTATTTATCACCGCACCGGAAGGAACAGTGAAAGCCCATCGCCCAAAGGTTTTCTTTTTGTCCGAACCAGCGAGAGAACGAGAGAACGAGAGAGCGAGAGAGGGGAAGGAGAAGATGTCGTGGCAGGCGTACGTCGACGATCATTTGTTGTGCGATATCGACGGCCAGCATCTGACGGCCGCCGCCATCATCGGCCATGACGGCAACGTTTGGGCTCAGAGCGAAAATTTCCCGCAGGTATATCGTTTTTTTGTCCTTTCGATCCTTTCTCTGCGTAGGTGTGTGATTGATTCTGATCAGATCTGTTGTTGCTGATTTGATTCAAAGTCTTAATTTTTGTTCTTAGGCCGTGAATTTGCTTGTATTCTATATAGGTTTTATGCTTTTTTTTTCTCTCAGCACAGCACGAGTGCTGGTTCGGGTGATCAAGGAATAGCGTTTTGATTTTTTTTGATTTGTGATCCATTTATGGTGGTGTGGATTTTATTTGATTGTTTATTTTGATTACAATTAAGTGTTTTTGGGAGGTTTCTGAGATTTGACGATCTGTAATATTTATTAGTTGAGCTGTTAAAATGATCAACTTATTGGAACATCCTTGTTTCCTTCCACGGAGCTACAAATTTTTTTACCGTGTCCGCAAAACTGATTAATATACCTTACTGAGTTTTCGGATGCTTGTTAAAAATGTTCTGCGAAGTGGCAAATAAGAGATGGTTCTGCTCCGTAGTTTTGGCTATTATGTGTCTGAGCTGATTCTGCTATATCGTTTTAAACTTTATTATCTTCCTTAGCGTGATTCAGATTATTTGTGAAACTATTATAATCGGGTCATTATATTGTAAATGATGTTTCTAAACACTTTCTCCGGTAATCGGCATTGAATCAGATCTCTTCTCTCGCGTTTGTATGTTTTTACATCATTTATGGGAAGTATATATCTTCAAAAAACTAGTAAAAAATGTTTTTTGATGTTGTCTAAAATGCTCTGATTTTCTGTAAATGTGAAAACACTATGGAGAGTTACATGCAAGTTTGGATTTCCAAATGACCATCAAATTCACAGTCTTGGATTCCAAAATGTTACTTTTGTACATCTATATCATAAGGCTTGTTTTGTAAATACCATGCTTTTAATGAAGCGGTTACTCACCATATTTAAAGTTGATTTTCCTTCTTTTTGAGGGGCATCGTCAAGGAGAAGGTAATTAATAGTTGTATTACCTGTTGATTTTTTATTTGGCAAAAGTTGTTTCCTTTGAGCACCATCATTTTTTTATTTAAATTTTCAATTTGTGCAAACATCAAGATGCTTACTTATTTGATGAAATGTACTGTGATCTGAGGATGCATAGGTCAAATGGCGAAGGTTCTAGGATCATTGCTTTTTTATGGAATTGGAGTGGTAGACCCATTGCATTAGGGCTTCTGCTTGATGCAGGGTTCAAAATGGATTTATGTATGCGGTCTTACCCTGCGTTATAGAGAGTTTATTTCCATGACTGTAGAAAATATAGTAAGATTAGGATCATTGCTTTTTTTATGGAATTGGAGTGGTAGACCCATTGCATTAGGCTTCCTCATGATGCAGGGTTCAAATGTATGCGGTCTTACCCTGCATTATATAGAGTTTATTTCCATGACTGAAGAAAATATAGTAAGATTAATGGACAAGTGTAGAAACCTAATGATGTTCAAGGATTACTATGAGGCACCTGTAATGGAAGGCTCTAAAGAAAGGCGGAGCAAGCATCCCAAATAAACCTCAAGATAATACAGTCTCTTCAAGGTAATGCATAAGATTAAATCAGTGTTCAAAGTGCTAAGCATAATGTGATATGCAAGGATTTTTTTTTTTAAAATTTGTTAAGCTACTTCTTTACTAACTAGAGCACCCCTTGATATAGCACCGACACACTTCTAAAAATGTGTTGTACCCGTGTCAAACACATATTAGATACCGACATTTGTTCAACATGTCCTAATGCTTGTTCAACTATACAATATGTGTGAATTTTTATTCCGATTCTAACATACTTCGGAAACGGCTTGACAGCATATTGGACATGAGTTCTACACGATTTGAGGGAAAACGGGACACAAGAAGTGAAAAATTATGAATATATGTGTAGCCCTAATTATATATCATATTTAGAGTGCCTCCTCAGTTGTCATGTTCAAGCTTCCTCTAACATCCATCAAAATCAAGCATTGAAGGTGCATCCAAAATTCGTCAACGCCTAGCATCATTAGTTCCCTCCTTGTTTGTTGAAGCTGAGCATCAAAGGTTCATTTTGCAGTAATTGAAGCTGAGATATGTAGTTCTCTTTTGTTAATTGAAGTCGAACCTGCACCATTAAAACAAAAGTTGTAAACTTCTTTGTCGTAATCTAAGTAGAAGTCAAACATGTTTGTGAAATCCAATCCAAATACCTCACGAACTTTGTGAGGATTGCGCTAAAGCTTCTATTCATTGAAGTCAAGTGGAGTCACAACCGCTCTAGTTTTATCAGTGATAATTTATAATTATTTTATTTTTACTTTTTAATGATTTAATAGTTATAAATATATAGTTTTTCTAATTCTAAAAGTTAAATTTTAACTTAATTAATTAAACAAGGTGTAATCATAGGATATTTTAAATGTTAGTAGATAAGTTGGAAGAGTTATTTTGAAATATATTATACATCAAAATTTGAAAATTAATTTTTATAAGCATGAGGTTCAAAAATACAAGCTAAATTTAAAAATGTAAATTTTATTCTTACATACTTTGTTTTATGTCTCTTTCATAAAGAATAAGAGAAAAAAATATAATATTAATAATTAATTAAATATAAAAATGTGATCATGACATGTCATGTCTTTTTTTTTTCATTATGTCGTGTCACCGTATCTTGTAGTATCCATGTCTTTGTGTTTTTGCCCTTGCTTCATAAATATATAAATTTTCAATTTGTGCAAACATCAAGATGCTTACTTATTTGATGAAATGTACTGTGATCTGAGGATGCATAGGTCAAATGGCGAAGGTTCTAGGATCATTGCTTTTTTATGGAATTGGAGTGGTAGACCCATTGCATTAGGGCTATATATATATATGTAGCAGTGTAATTTTAACTGACCAAATTTAAGTTTCATTAAATATTAGTTTCAACATATATAATGATACATTTAATAATAGTTTTTTTTTTCTGTACTAAGCCAAAAATAAATTAAAGTTAAAAGTATTGTAATGATGAAAGAATAGCTAAAAATCAAGAATACTCATGAGGTTGTGTAACTAAATAGAGGCCAAGAGGGAATGGAGTGTGAAGAGAGAGAGGATATGAGATACGAAGAATCACATAGAGATATTATTGAGAGCCAATTTTGACAAGAAACTTGTAAGTGGAAAGCTTCTAGGATTGGTGAAAAGAACAACAAAAAGTGCATCAGAAAACTATTGGGCGAGAGATATCTTGAAGGGTATCCTTATATCTTGAAGGGAGTTCTTATGAAGTGATTAGCTCCTAACAAGATAGATTGGATGACCAATGAGCAATGCCTCATCGACTATGAGAACCATTGAGGAGAAATGAACATTTGTTGAGTCGGAGTTGAGTTTGAATTGCGCTTTTTTGTGATCTTGTGTTTTGCTGGTTTGCTCTACATAAGGTTGGCATATTGTTTTGCTTTGTTCGCACTAACATTATATTTGATACTAAAATTTTGCAGCAGTTATATTTGGTATTGATGTTCATGATTGCATTACATGATACATACACATCAAGACGCATGCATATATGCATTTATAGATGCATGTTGTTTATTCATTTTTGTTTAGTACTAACATTATATTTGATACTAAAATTTTGCAGTAGTTATATTTGGTATTGATGTCCATGATTGCATTACATGATACATACACACCAAGACGCATGCATATATGCTTTTATAGATGCATGTTGTTTATTCATTTTTGTTTAGCAATCATGATTATTTGTTAGCTAGACATGCCTAGGAGTGTAAACGAGTTGTGTCGAGCTCAAGTCATGCACTTATCGAGCTCAACTCGTTTACCAAATTGTGAGCTTGAGCTTAAGCTTGAGTCAGAGCTCAAGCTAGGCTTGTAAAGGTAGCAGCCGGCTCTCGTGAGCTTATCGAAAGATGATCGTAAAAGGTATTGGTGGCCGGAGGAGGATGATGCCATGAAAACTCACTGAAAAATGTATTGAAATTACTAATAAAAGGCTTATCGAGCCGGCTCACGAGCTAACGACTCCAGTCGGGACAACCACGAGCTCGAGCTTGTTTTATAAACAAGTCCAAGTTTGAGCTCAAGCTCAAGCTTGTGGCTCGATAAGCTCGGCTCACAAGCTCAAGCCGGCCGGGCTCATTTACACCCCAAGACTGGTGCCCTCCAAATATTTTTATTGGAGAGAACTAATTGCTGAAGTGATTGATTCTGGCTGATAACATGACAAGAAATTTTGCTTGTCCTGCCCAGTTTTCAGCATCATTATTGTTGCTGCTTTTGGTTGGCGCAGCTGAAAGAATTAGGGGCATTTACATACATATCACACAATTCTTATGTATTTACACATCTGACACCTAAAAATTAATATTCCCATGCATGCCACTCAAATCTTTAACATGCATAAAAATACCTCCATCATTACCTTTTTAAAAGTTAAATACACCTTTTCACGCATAGGTTTGTGACACCAAGGTGTTATAAGTGTAAATATCAAACTTCGGGTGTTAGATATGTAAATGCATAAGAATTGTGTAGTATGTAGGTAAATTTCCCAAAGAATTAAAGACTGCTCTGATTGATTGTTCCTGTTCAGTTTTTAGAGCACTGGACAATTGCGCTTGAGATGATATATTCCTATGCAAAGGATGAGTGCTCATTTGTGAGGGCATGTAACATAGCATATTTTAAAAGCTTTAGAAAGAATTATGAGCATGAAAAATTGTGAAGTATTGAATGGTTGATACTAGTACTCAGAAAGTAAGCGATATTGCCAAAATTAAGGATGATCACAGCAAATTTTAAGTTAGATGAGGAAATAAAGCCCTTATTACTACCTGATAAGTTTGTTTTTATTGGACCTGACGTCTTGAAACCTTTTGAGTCAGGTCTTTGGTCCCAACATTATTAACTGATTAAAAGCGAATCTGTATGAGAAATTTTGAAAGATATACTTAAGAAATATTGCCATATTGATCTCTTCATGAACTTATCTATATGACTTCAAGATGCTGTTCTTTATAAAATTGTAGTTTGTTGGAATCTTTAGAGTTGTCTGATACAAAGGCATTTTTGCTTTTTTTTATTATTATTATTAAATCTTGTAATTGCCTTGCTTATGAGTTGATGGTTAGGTTGGGTGTAAATGGGTAATGTTGCATGGATCTTTCGAACTTGGATAGTGACAGATCATATTCTATTTGAGACTTTCATATTTATATTTGTTTGGAATTCACTTGTAATTATGTAGTTTGGCTTTGTTGATTCATTACTTAAACCTATTAAACACTTCGCTTTTCTTCATCATATTGTTTTAGAGTGCTATTGTATTAATTTTTTTATCAATTATCATATTAATCACATGTAGGGCTGTCAAAAAAGCTCATTGTTCGCGAGCAGTTCGTGTTCGATTCGTCAAAGAATTCGTGTTCGATTGGTTCGATAAGTAAATGAGACGAACATGAACAATTTTTTTCGTTCGGTTAGTTAAACGAACCAAACACGAACAACGATGCGTTCGTTCATGTCATTATTATTCGAAATATAAAATAATTTAAAATAATTATATATAAAAAATTATTATATTTTAAAACATTAAATTTTATAAATTATAATATATAATAGTAGGGATTTCAAACTGGCTCGTCGTTCGCAAACAGCTCGTGTTTACTCGTGTTCGGATCGTTCGTTAAGAAATGAACACAAACAGTGACTTCACGAATAATTTCAAACACGAGCTTATTTCAAACAAACTAAATTTCAAACAAACCGAACACGAACACAAGCTCTGTTCGTTCGTGTTCAGTTCGTTTACACCCCTAATCACATGAACTTCTGAGTGTTTGGTTTGTTGGTTGATTATTGGAAACTGTTATTGAAAGTAGACCTGTAATTTTTTGGTCTCAGATTTAAGAATCAAATCTGATTTCATTCAACTGGAATGATAAAAATTGTCTATTTAGTTTGAAAACTTTATATCATTTATATTGTTCTTACAACCCTGGATATGCTGATTGGTATGCTAAGTGGTCCAAAATAATTGTTTTATTAAGATATTTACGTGTAGAAGATCGAACCACATGATTGAGAATGCTTTAGGCTGAACATATTATAAAGTATTTGCTTTGTGAGTGACCTTCCTTTATTATTCAAAAAAGGTATGGTTGCACTTGTCTTAGTACAAGAGAGAAATCTCTATAAAGCATGGATGCGGGCATCACACTTTGAAGGGAGGCTTGGGTGCATAAAATAGGCAGCACATGTGCTATCCTGCTATTTTGAGTTTGATCAAAATTTTTTGGATTGATGTATGTGCATATAATAGGCTGATGCTATCCCTCGTGGATAAGACGAGAGAAAAAGTCCACGAAAAATTTGAAACCTTGGAGTCTAAAGGTCTTCATTTGAGTAGAACTAGAACTAAACACATGGAATGTAATTTTAGTAGTAGTAGCTTTAGTGACCGAAGTGTTACTTTGGGTGATCAAATTATCAAAAGGTGTGAACAATTTAGGTATCTCGGGTCTGTTGTTCAATGCGATGGTGATATAGATGGGGATGTTAATAGTAGGATTCAAGTTGGTTGATTAAAGTAGAGGAATGCTTCGGGCCTTTTGTGTGATAGAAAAGTACCGCTTAGACTGAAAGGAAAATTTTATAAGATGGTGGTGAGACCTGCAATTCTCTATGGCGCTGAATGTTGGCCTTTAAAAGAGAAGCATAATGCTGAGTTAAGTATTGTCGAGATGAGAATGATTAGGTGGATGAGTGGCTTTACACTTCGAGACAAAATGCGAAATGAATATATACGTGATAGGGTTGGTGTAACTCCTGTGACAGACAAAATTAGAGAGAGTCGTCTTAAATGGTTTGGTCACATTAAACGTCAACCATCAGCTGATCTGATTAGAAGATTAGATGTTTTAGATCCGACTTATGTTAAGAAAGGTAGAGGTAGACCTAGGCCTAGGAAGGCTTGGGCTTATTACATAAATTATGATCTTAATTTATTAGAACTAGATGAAAATATGACACTAAATAGTACGCAATGGAGAAAGGGATTCATGTAGCCGACCCCACATAGTGGGATTAAGGCTTTGTTGTTATTGTTATTGATGTATGTGCAATTTACTACCACGAAGTATTTTAGTATCTCAGTAAAATTGCGGCGTTTGGAAAATTTGTCTTTGGAATGAAATATCCACAAGCTATAATGTGGAGTAGGTTCCTTAATTAAGGAGGAGGCACAACGGACTACTGGTGTTGTAGCTTTGTCAATAAGATTGTTTCAAATCTGGTTGTTTTCTAATGGTTTAACTTACCAAAATAGAAAGTGTTTGTTTTTTATTATTGTTGATTGTACTAGTACTGGATATGAACATTTAGGTGATGACTCTGATGAAGAGATTTAACTGATGTTTAGTGAAGAAGATTTCGCTTGGGGTATCTTTGCAAGGATTAGTGGTGTCTATGAAACAAGCTATAACATCTTATAGACTATTCTAAAGCGAAAGAAAATGCAACTTCATTTAGGCTGTGAATACTTTTTGATGAAGATGTTGAAAGATATGATGAAGATTTTGCTATGGCACATGATAGTGAGGAATCTGACTATTTAGATTGATGATTATGATAATGATGGCAACTCTGATTAGGATGGGTAGTGTAATTTACCAAATTTAAATATTTGGTTTGGATTGAACCATTTCATATTATTGAATATTGGTATTGTTATTTTTTTATTATATTTCTATAAGAGATTCTAAATACCATTGCTTTACATATTATTCTATTATTCTATATTGTGACAACCATGATAATTTCATTCGCCGATCTAATTACTTTTTTCCTTGATTGTTTTATTTATTCAATTTTTTTATTCACTTAAATGCATATTAAAATTGAGCAAACTAATTTTCTAGGTATGATTTTTTCTAGTTTTAAGATAATTTCTCTTTTAGTTCGTTAATTTTAGAATATTATTAATGATTTTTTCCCCCAAAAATGGAGAGCGCTATGCCATAAATCATGTGAGAATAGCTCATTGTTTAAAGGGAATTCTCTCCATAGTATTATGGTTCAAAGGGGACTCTTATACCATAATACGACATTCTCCGTGAAAAATAATTGGTGTAATACATTTTGCAAAGAAGGAATATTTATAACCTCTTCTTTGGAATAGTTTCAGGTCATTTTTTCTGTGAGGAGCTTTTAGTACCTCATTTGGTTAAGATATGATGTATTTAGCCTAAAAGCTTTACATATTGGATTTAAACTCCCAAGTTTGCTGGCTCCTATAAAACAATGTATCAGTTTCTGGATGCTGCTGATGAGATGTTCTTTTATTTTGTTAGGTTCTCTGCTCCGAATAACTTTCAGTTCCAACTTCAGCACAGAGTTTTTGTGCAACCTAGGTTACAATTCAAAACAGTTTTTTGTCCATTTATTTCTTTTGTTTGTGTTAGTCCACGCCCTTTTTTTGTAGATTTGTGGATTCTCTAATCATTCTGTTTTTAGTTAAATTAGCTGAAATTAGTTGCAATTTAATTTAATGTTGAAACTAATTTTTCAAATCATGCTTTAGTCCTTTGTGATGAGAATTTTTTTTTAGTAGATGCCAATTGTTTTTGGTGCCTGCTACTGGTTTGTAAATGGACGACTCGCTAATATAGTTCTAATATCCTTTTAAAACGGATTACCTGACACATATTGTTTTTTCTCCCGAGGAACATGTGAACTGATTCTTGCTAATAACCTGACACATCTTGTTTTTTCTCCCGAGGAACATGTGAACTGATTCTTGAACATATCCAACATTTTTTCAAATGGAGATAAATAAAATATGATGTGGTTTTTTTGTCAGAACAAATAATGGTGCTCTAATATTTTATCTTCTTCTTCTGATCCATGAGAGCTTAGTTGTCAAACTTTGGATTATTGTTTGCATTGATAGAAATTTCATGGATATGCGAATCATGCAATATTTCTACAACTTAAATAACTTAACAGTTTGTATCATCATATATATTTCTTAGGACAGCATAGACGATGGTGACTGTTATATACCTAAACTGCTTTCAAAAGATGCCAATGTCAATAGTATTAATTTTCTATGGCTTGACGCAAATTGTGATACTATAATTATCTAGGCATATGTAGAAGATTCAAATATCAAATATTCTGTTTTTATTCCGTAATCTTCCTCTATTATTTATTGTTTATTGGAATAAAATTTTCAACATTAGAATTGTGAAGCTGATCCATTTAACCTTGTTTTTACTGCAAATGCCTCCTCTTATTGTGTTTCTTTGTTTGATTTTCAGTACAAGCCTGAAGAAATTAATGGCATTATGACTGACTTCAATGAACCTGGACATCTTGCACCAACTGGTTTATACCTTGGCAACACTAAATATATGGTTATTCAAGGTGAACCTGGGGCAGTTATTCGTGGGAAGAAGGTAAGTTGTAAGATTCTCTCTTCTAATTTTTGGTTGATGCATGATACATTAATCCAGATGGTCATGTAAACTAATAAGTTATAAGTCTTGCCAAGATAATGGTTCAACAAAATATATTCAATTGTATAGAACTTTGTCCCTCAAGAAGCTTTTTCTTTGTTGAGTCTATGATAATATTTTTTTTCTTTTTTTTTTTTTTTGGGGGGGGGGGGGGGGGGGGGTGGGGTGGTTGTATCTTGTATATTTGATAAAACATTTGTGAAAGGATCCATGGCTCATTGGTTAAAGGAGATGATTATATCTTCAAGGTCATGGGTTCAAACTGCATACTTAACAATTTATCGCTCATCATTCAAAAAAAGTTACTTTTTTATTGGTTATTTTTATTTTTATTTGTTGAGGTTTAAGAAATCATCAAATTTGTGGAGTGTATAGTATTGGTTGCAATAGTGTATTATTTATTTATGCAAAATATAAAAATTGATATTCAATATTATATATTGCATTCATGAGAAAACAAGAGAAAAATATACACACAGCGCATGGGTGTACACAAATAAAGAACTCTTTGGGTTGTTTGGCTACTAATCGAATACTTGAAAATTTATTTGATGGATGACTTCGTTTCATGAGAAGTTAATTATAATTTCAATTTTTAAAACCTTTAATATGGCTTAAAATTCAATAAATTCATGTATTGTAATTATTCTTGCTATTTCTATTGCTTGATCCATGGTTAAATTATTATGAAGGCGAACACCTTGTATAAGCCCACTTTCACACGAGGGATAGGAGAGCTTTTGTGTCATTACCCTTATTTTCCTTATTATATGCACACAAAATAACGCCAAGCAATTCTTGGAAGAATAAGATATATGTAATAATTCCTTCTGATTAGGTGTTATATAATAATTTCAAAAAATATCACTAGTTTCATTAATTCTAGAATTTAAGGTTGTATTGCACTGGGCAAAATTTAGTAGAATTAAAAAAGTACTAAAAAAATTTAATATATATGGAAGTGTTTCATATAAAGTATATGGAAGTGTTGCATAGAAAAATTTATGGTATATGGAAGTGTTTCATTGTGAAATGCTATAACTATGTTAGACATTTTTTTTTATTTTTCAAATTAGAATCATCAAATTTGTTGTTATTCTATGTACTGCTTGCAGGGATCTGGAGGCATTACCATAAAGAAAACAAACCTGGCTTTGATCATAGGCATTTATGATGAGCCAATGGCTCCTGGACAGTGCAATATGGTCGTTGAGAGGCTCGGCGACTATCTCATCGAACAAAATTTTTAAATTTGCGTTGCATCACATCTTTTCACAGTTGTATCTCTTGAGATTTTATTTCTTCCACATGTGCTTGCTGCATCTACACCAATGAATAATGGACCCCAAATCATTTTGGTTTTATGGGGAACTTGTGCTGAATCATGTTCCCCCATTTAAGAGTCAAAATAACTGGTTTTCTCGCTACCTTTGTTTATATTTGATGGCTTCTGCAACTTGTTGAATGGCGTGTCAATGGACGTGTGATTTTTCATTTGATATTTTCTAGGAATTGTTGTCAGTGATGTCGTGTAATAATTGCTGCATTTTTCACTTTTTTTTGGCTATTATTGGTGCTTTATTATTATACCCCTCATTTTGTGTTTTGATTTTATGCTGGCCAACATGAATGGCTGCCTATTATTTGTTGTGCACAAGTTTTAGCATGCAGGGTAAATTATGTGTTGGATGCTCATTAGTTTCCTTGAAATGTTGTGAAATACACTTTTTTTCATGTGTAGAAGATCATACAATGTAGAATGCATGTAAAAATTGAAATTTGATTTTTGCATATGTAAAAATATGAGAATCAAGTGATATGTGTGGAAGTCTTATTTTGTCTGATACTTTGAGCGAATATTTTTAGAAAAAATGAAAGCGAAATGGTTGTCCGAAAATATCAACTCTAATGCTTGTAATGCATTATAAATTAAAGAAATCGTTTTTATAACAACTAAAATATGCTTTGTGAATTAGTTTAATTAAAGGAAGTGGTATAAAAATGCAAACCTTGTATAGAAATACCTTAGGTGGAGATCATTGTGGAGAAAATGTATGCATAACATCTAATTATAGTTATACTTTATTCATACCTGGCTAAATAATGTTCAAACATCTTATAAGCATATGAATGGAGAATTGTTCATCATTTATAAGCTTATGAACATACGTTTGAAGGCATTTCCATGTCATGTTATGATGGATGAAGCCGAAATATAGTATGGATCTGATGCTGTGTTTTGCGCATGGATTGTGAAGAAATGCTTTTGGTTGTATGTGAAAAAGCTAAGTAGATTGAATGCTTGAATTTGCTGGTTCATTTATATTAGTTTTAAAGAGTGAGTGATTAAGATGCTGCAATGACCAAGAATTCCCTTAGGTGGTTTATGGGCATTTGAAAGAAGTATCGAGACTTGAGACAACATGTCCTCTGGATACTTGAGAGTATTTAGGATCGGAACCACCATAATGCACTTCCTTATGTTGGAAAGTGGTGGGGTTGATTCATTTTCAAATTCTTTACAACACTTGCTTGCTATGGACATATAAACACCTCATTGGTGAATGAGGGATAATGCTCTCTGCGCTCCAAAAATTCAAAAAAGCGCACCAGACTCTCGTTGAGAGCTTAACACAATATTTGTTAAGGTTCCACACGATGTTTGTTAAGGTTCCAGGTCAAATTTTTAGAATATTGATTAAATAATAGATAAGACACTATTCATAGATTTTGCCCTCATTTTGTGAGGACTTTAAGATCTGGGGTTTGAGGTTTCCCATATGCGCAAGTCCCTATGGCTAATTACCTTTGATTACGGGAGATCACTTTCGATTAAGGCTAGTCATTAGGCGTCAAGCATGCAGACTTAGCACAAAATTATCATCATGAGCTAAAAGTGGATGGTGGGGGAAAATGCGACAAACTTGATCAAGTTCTCATGGTTCAGTCATCTTAGGTTATCATGAACTCTAATCTACTTAGTCTGTAGAGGCAGTCAACCCAACTTGACTAAAGGATCCTTGTCAGCAACCAAGGGTTGCTCGGACCAAGGGGACCTTGTAAAGCCGGGGTGAATATTTGTCTAAGAGAACTAATCTAAGTCGATCTTAACTTAAAAATAGTTTTTTGACCTATCAGATATACCATATGATTCAACACTCGAAAGGGAAAAGTACCATTGGGGAACATACGGGCCACCACCATGAAAGTAATATAATAGTGTCATTTGGCAGCAAAACCCTCTCCCTCTGTCCGAGGGCTTTGGTCGTAACAGCTTATTTGTGGTTTCATTTGGCGACAAGACGACGCAGATAGAGGACTCAGGCCATGTCCTTGCATGAGATTGTTTTGAGTTTCAATTTAGTAGTATGTTCGATATGACATTGGCTTTTTGTGAGCTCGAGTTAGTATTACATTAGTCCACCCCGAAAACGATTGCGGAGGGTGTATGTTATTTTGCTTTAAAGCATGAGATGGCATAATTTTTTATTTAAATATTATATATTTTTTATGATTTTAAATAATTTATTTTTATAAATAAGCCTCTCTGGTTGAAATTCACGATCATCATCGAGGATTGATGCCTTTAAACCCTGTCGACTCTATCTCACTCATGGGGGATCGAGTTCATAATTGAAATAATTGAATTTAAAATAGACTTTTAGAAATAATTTTAAAATTGACCACTCCGGTTGAAATATTCTATCAACCCAACCATTATCGGGAAAATGTGTCTCTGAACCCTGACCTTGTCCTGCTTACTAAGAATCAGGTTCAATAATTGAAATAAATGACTTTAAAATAGACTTTGAGACAACTTTGAAATATATCTCTCTGGTTAAAATATTCTATCAACTCGCCCATAATCGAGGAATATTCTAACTTACACTATTAAAAGCAACAACCATGTCAAGCCCAGCTTACATAAGAAGAATAGTCAGACTAACTCATTGTGGGCTCAATCCAGTTGGCTCCATTCATTGTAAGAAAAAGGATCAGATGGGCCAAAGTGGGGGTTGAATCATTTCAACTCCAGTCCCTATAGGGGGGGGGGATTGGATTAGCCAAAGTGTGAGACTTACGACCTAGTCATATAAGGAAGGCGACATATTGCCCGTGCATCATTCTCTAACGCCTAAGCTTAAATATTTAGAGGCACGTCGGAGCACATGTATGCATTTTACATTTGTTGAGTTGAGATCTTTAAATAGTTTTGCACATATTTTAAGACAGATTAGTTTGAACTTAAGCATTTGTTTAACCTACACAATATTCTCAAATCTTATGATCGAACGTTCAACACGTTGGTCGGAGCACACGCAAAAACTTCATATTTGTCAATTTTGACTAATTTTATAGGATTTTTAAGATTAATTGCACGTGCATATTATCATTAACATGAGTGCAAATATTTTTATTTTAAGCTTTTAGTATTGTTTTTGTTTGCTTGTACATTTGGGGTTGCAGATCTGGCGACGATGAAGGCGATCCAGACTTCGATTGCATATTTGAAAGTATGTCTCTCTCTCATACATAGCTCTCATTTGAGTATTCAAGTGGACCTCCCATTGGTTTCATTCGAACTCGTTAACGAGTCGTGAGTCTCCCGTGAGTCGTGCAAGTTTTATTTATATTTAATTACCTCTTTTAAGATGATTTATGTAAACAATTTAGTCTTTACTATGTAGCTAAGGACCTTTCATTCATATTGTATTTAGGTCCAAGTAAATTCAATTTAATTGCTCTTTTATGACTTACTGACCAAAATCCAACAACATTGAGGTAGCATTGCGACAGCCTGCAGACATCATCCACCATTGGGAGGGTTGCATGGTAAGTTTAGATCTACCCACCATGACAAGAAAGAAGTGTATGAGTGACTTGCACTACGACCATATAGTAGTGTATCCCGCCACCCAAAGACATGCGTGTACGAGACTTTAAAATTGCAAGAGGATCCCCCGCCATGCCAAAAAAAGCGTGTACTGTTGTCACTTGTATCTCAGGCACTTGCAATATATTTCCCTCATCAAGAAAAGACGCGTACGAGTATTTAATTTAAAATTGTCTATTGCATCTCGATCGTCGCGTACGAGCTTCACCCCACCAGGCTAAGAAGAACGGTATAGGACTCCCCTTGGTCGAGTCAAATGAGTCGAAATAATTGTTTTAGAAGCTTTTTTATTTGCCTACCTGATGCGCCAAATGCCTTGCAATAGACGTTTCAAAAATCACGAGTGTTATAACTTTCGTGTCGTGGGGGCGATGCAGTGAGGCAATGGCTTTAACACACCTGCATGAATTTCACATACAAGATCTTACTATTCTACCCACATTAGAATCATTTGCATATGCACACATCACATTAGGTGAGCACTTGCATTCTATTTTCTATTGGACGTCATTTGAGCATGGTTAAAGTGATTTGAACTCAATTTACGCTGTTAGCTTATCGTTCATGCTTTGCTCCGCTAC